TCGCCTTCGCGTGCCCTCCTTTCCTCCTCCTCCTCCTCCTCCTCCTCCCCCACCTTCCTCCTCCTTCTCCTCCTCCTCCTCCTCCTCCTCCTCCTCCTCCTCCATGACCACCATACTCCCATCATCCAGCGGAAGCTGCGGGACTGCCCCTCCCCCGACGCCCATCCCGTCCTCCCCTCGAGGCGCCTGAAACTTGAGCTGCAGCGGGCTCAGCCAGGTCTTGCTCCTCTTGCTCTGGAACATGCGCTTGCTCTTGCTGGTCTGGTAAAGCCCCAACATCCTGCCCCCATACTCGGAGTTGATATTCTCCGTGATACCCACCTGGTAGGAAGCCCACTTGTTGTGCCGGAGGTGGAAGGCACGCCCGACCGTGACCCGGGCGCCCTCCTCCAGGCCGTGGATGACGAAATGGGCCCGGGAGGAGGAGGACGAGGGCGGGTTCGGGGTCCACCACAGCCACCAGCCCTTGTAGACGCTCAGATACTTGCCGTTTACCGAGTTTCGGAGTATCACCACGTCGCCATTGCACAAGAAATCGGAGCGAAAGTAGGCCGACGTCCCTCCCACCTTGATCAGGTGCACATCCAAGGGCGCGGCCCCTGGTCTGGCAATGCAGTAGCCTTTCCCTTCCGTCACACAAGCCCATCCCCCAACGGAGCCGCCCGTGGCTGCCAGGAGCGGCGCGATGTCACCCGAGCGCACGTACACGTCTGATCCCGACAAAGCCCCCTCCTCGTCCTCCCCCTCCACCGCACTGGCATAGCTACCCGCTCTCCTCTCCCCGCCAAACCCGTCACGACCCGCGTCCAAGGTACTTGCCAGCCCGTCCATCTCCACACCATCCCCCCCTGCGCCCACAACACTGCCCACTTTCTCCTTTCGTCCTCCTTCCCCGCCCCCGTCGCTGCTTCTGGAGCGCACGCGGCTCGGGCGAGCACCCGGCGAGTGACCAGGGAAGACAGATCCATGGAGGCCGCTGCTGCTCATCCCAGCCTCGGTCGCGCTCAGCCTGTCTGTGTCTTCCTCTCCCAGCCCCGCTTCGCCGCCAGCCGCCACCAGCTCGCAGTGATAGAAATACCGCTTGTCGCACCGCCGATGCGCGCCCCCCGGACTGGCCGCCACGGAATTGTGCAGGTCGTAGACGACAATGTGGACCGAGGCGTCCCCGAAGTACCCGCCCAGGTCGATGGACTTCTGCCCCGCGATGTTGACCAGCTGCCACTGGGAGAAATCCAGGTACATGGAGTGGAAAGACATGGAGTAGATTGGCCCCAGCACAAACTCGGGCTCTTTCCCTTTCCCCCCTCGCCGCGGGACTCGCGTCTCGTCCGGCTCGTTGAACTCCTTCCCCAGCGGAGGGGGTTCCTGCCCCGCCGGGGTCACGACCAGCCGGTCCATGCCTCGGGAGAGCGGGAAGGTCAGGTGGGGGAGTTCCACCTGCTCGGCCTCCACCGCCTCCCCACCTTTGTCGCCGAAGCTGTAGTGCAGGTTCTTGAGCACGCGGCGGGCGAAAGCAAGTACCATGCCCGCCACGGTCTTGGTCACCAAGCCCAAGTGCATCCGCTCCGTCAACTCGGCGCCCATGTAGAGCACGCCCTCCGGGAGCTTCTTGAAACGACCCTGGATCTGCATTTCGAAGAGCCGTTGCTTCCCGGCGAAGTGCGCCACGTACCGAGGGTCTTCGGGCTTGGTCCGGAGCATGAACAAGACCTGGCCCTTGAAGAATTCATTCTCGAAGTCCACCACCTCGTTGAACGGGATCTGCACCCCCATCCAGTCGATCAGCTTGACTCCGTTGTACCGGGGGTCTCGGAGGGTCTGGGCGAACCGGCTCCGCATCTCTTGTCGTCGCGATTCATGCATGCTCCTCGGCGTGCCCGTCGAGCCTGTATCCAGTCCCAGCCGGCTGCTAGCCTCGTTCCCGGCCGCCTCCTCCCTCGCCCCATGGCCCCCTACCAGCCGCGTCTGGCTGGCGATGCGTCGCAAGGCCGAAAAAGTCTGCCCGGCGGCCTCCACTATGTTGGTAGGCGTGCCGATCGACGGCGACGAGGCGCTGGAGGAGGACAACGAGGGGGGCGGCAATGTTTGTGGGGGATCAGGGTCCCGCGCCCCCTCCCTCGACCTCCTCCTCTCCACGGTAGGGCTTGGGCTGGGGGCAGGAACAGGTTTGGGAGCCCCTAGGAAAACGTCGTGGCCCCGGGCTTTCAGGATGAGTATGACCAAAGAAGCGCCCAAGACCATGCCGACCAGCAAGCCCATATCTAGGTCCGGATTGGATAGAAGGCGGTTCGCCGCTGCCCAACCTGTGATCAGGTGATGGTAGTAGAGGTCGTTGAAGGGGCATTTGCCACGCAAATCACGTCTTCCTCACAGCCTGACATTCATGCTGTAACCAATTTCTTGACCGCCCGACTTTACGTGAGCCCCATGCCATGTTATTACCTGTTCCGGCTGCAGCCGCCAGTACAAGGGGCTCGAAATACGTCTCCATGACTTCCACACAACCCACAGACGTCTGAGGGCGCCGCACGCGTCCGAGCCCAGGTACCTGTCAAACTTGGCCTTCGGACAAAACAAAAGCACCACCGTGATTCCCCGGGGATTGTGCACGTCCTGAATGGAAGGGAAGTGTGCAACTGGATGTGAGCGACAAACGTGTTCCGCTTGCTCGAAACCTTATCATCGCATGGGCATAAGATTATTAAGGCATTTTGTCTTCAACAGAAGCTTGGCTTGTGGATTAAGGAACATAGTCTAGCAGGAAAAATGCCCCCGTACAACCTTATCCACATAATCAACATTTCGGCATTTTGCATGCAAGGAAAGGCCTTGTTGAACGAGGTAATTGGCGGTGGCACGGCCGCAAGGAGATCGGCGAGATGTTGTATTTGACGTGACCGGACGGAGGGGTGTGAAACGCAGAATTATGCTGGGAGAGACTCGCATTTACTACAAAGCGGAATGCACCGGGACGCCTTGGATGCATCATCACTCTTGCCTGAAACATTCTTCACGACCAACTTACACAGGAATGCCTGGGTTCATGTCCTTGGTTTTCTCCCGACGACCATGAGGCACCGAGACCTGCGAGGGCGGTGGGCTGCCGATGGCGGCGCTCCTACCTCCTACTCCCTGGGACCTTCCGCGGCGCCGCTTCCCTCGTCGACACAAGCCGAGGTCCTATTTGATGGCCGCGATAAGGAGGACGTGGATTGTCACCATCACTCGCTGGAGGAACGGGCGCGGCGGACAGTATTTACATGCGCCTGGTGCGCCCTATGCCTTGCAGGCAGCAATGTCCTGGGCTCCAAAGTTCTGTCATTGGGAGGCACGGCTTTGTTTTGGCCAGGCCCACCCATCGTCGCCATGTTCCTGGTCCTCAGTCCTTTGTTCATGCAGCGCTGGTTGGCGTCCACGGCATTCGCTGTCTACCTTGTGATGATCCTCCTCGATTTTGGCAAGCTGAACGAGTGCCTGTTTTTGAACGTGCTGTTCATGGTCACCGATGCCACGGAGGTCTTCGTTGTCATGACGTGTTTGCGTGCAGTGCTAGGGATCGCTCCCGTCAGTATCATTCGGACGGGGGTGGGAATAAATGCCATCCTGCTTTTCCCCCTGGTTCTGGCCCCCTTGAAAGCGGGCCTGAATGCTTTGCTTATCTATATGTGCTACGGCGCACTGAACCTTCCCTTGTCTGAAACCCTCGTGATTTGGCTGATTGGGGACCTGTTTACCGACTTCTTCGTCGTATACTCGGTGCTGGTGGTGCGCTACTACCTCCAGCTCTACCTGATCAAGGTGAAGGAGATGAAAATGTGTGAGAGGGAGGGCAGAAAGGAGCCGGAAGACGCGGGCCGGGCCGAGACGGCGAATGCAATCGGCATGGGAGGCAGTCTCAGGGTGCCGCATGGAGGGCCGGGCGAAAGCTCAATGGGCGGGGCAGGGCGCACGACCCCGGCTCTGACCAACGGGGAGAGTATTTATCACTTTACGCAAACACGTTACGAGAACGGGGGGTGGGGCCAAGAAGAGGGTGACGAGGAGGAATCGGAGAAGGAGTGGGGCAGCGACGACAGTGAATACGAGGACGAGGAGGAGGATGAGGAGGAAGACGAGGAAGACGAGGAGGAGGAGGAGGAGGAAGACGAGGAAGACGAGGAGGAGGAATGGAAGTTCGAAAATGGAGGGCGTGAGATCGAGCCCGCGGAATCTAGGAATGAGGAGGATGCTGGAAGCAGTGATGTTCCCGGGAAGTGGTCTCCATACGCTCCTGGAAGCGGCGTCTCTCACCATCGCGCGAATGGAGTACGTCCGGATATGGTGGCGAAGACCGACGCGTTGGGTCCAGGGATACCAAGCAATGCTGCCGCGGTGCAGCAGGCCGGCCATCCAGTCAAAGCCTGGCTGCACTCACCGAGGATGCTCTGGGACGTGACAGCCTTCGTCTTCTTCCTCTCGGTCAGCATCTTGACCTCCTTCGCTACCATCCTCAACCACACGCGCATCGCCCGCCAGCCCCTCTTCTACCTGGGCAGTCGGCTTCTTTTTCCGGTCACGGGGTACGTGACGGTGCGGTACGGACAGCTTGTCTCCTGCTTCATCGTGGGTGTGGTTGCCATCAGCATGCTGGTCACCGATTTCCTCCTCAACGAGGAGCAGAAGACGTATGGCTCCGTGTATATCACCTCCTTCAGCACCCTCTTCCAGGCCTTAGTCTGCCCGACGCTCATCGTCATCGTCTCCTGGTCCATTTCCTACCTGGCTGTGGCCCTGGCAGAGCGGCAAGACACCCTCCGCCTCCTTCGGGATAAAAACGCCCAGCTGCTCGCGCAAGAAAAAGAATTAAGAGAGGCGAAACTGGCAGCCGAGCAAGCCCTGTCCTCCAAGACCGAGTTCTTCGCCCGCGTCTCCCACGAGTTCCGCACGCCCCTGAACGTGGTCCTGGGGTTCTCAGAGGAACTCATCAAGCCGCCCCCCCCTGGGGACGGAGGGCAGTGGGTGGCACTGACTGCTGAGACAGCGGACCGCGTGCAGTACATCTTGGCGGCGGGAGAGAGTCTGTTGCGGGTCGTGGACGACATCCTGGAGCTCTTCCGCCTCTCCTCCACCCACTCCCAAAAGGGGGGCCAGCTTCTCCGGGTGAATATGACGGCGGTCGACATCCCCTCCTTCTTTGGCACCGTCTGCGACCTGGTCGAGGTCATCTCCAAGGAGAACGGGCTGCATTTCATCAAGCACCTGGACCCCGCCCTCCCCCGGTACCTGATCATTGACCGGGGCCGATTCTCCCAGCTTGTCATGAACCTGGCCTTCAACGCCTGCAAGTACAGTCGGCCCGCGGGCGGGGTGGTGTCCATCCGCCTCACCAACGAAGGTCCCGTGGAGGACGGGCGCCCGGGCTTCATCACCTTGCGCCTCGACGTGCAGGACAATGGGCCGGGGATACCGCCGGAGGTCAAAGACCGAATTTTCGAGTCCTTCTTCCGAGGAGGGCCCTCAATGGAGACCATGGAGGTCGAGGAAGAGGAAGTGGCCATGCCCGCTGCGGCGGGAGGGCCCGACTGCTACTCCTTGCCGGCCACCGGGGGTGGGGGGGGAATGCGAGGAGGCGAGATGACTGGGTATTTTGAAGATGCAAGTCAGCTACCACCGGGGGGTCAGCGCCACAGGGGAGTCGGAGCTGCCTCGCCCTATCTCTCTCCGGGCTTGCCGACGACCAACTCGGTGTCTGGGGTCCACACAGGCTTCAATGCGGGGCTGGCTCCTGGTGCAGGTGTTCGCAGTCAACAGTACCTGGCTGGCGCATCGCCTCCCCCTCTCCACGTAAGCAGCGCCGAGACTAAAGCGGGGTCCCACCCCTTTCCGCCGGTCCTCCCCCCCCCCCACCGGAACTACAAGGCGAAGGGGCACGGGCTGGGGCTGGCGATCACCAAGCAGCTTGTGGATTTACTGCATGGGAAGATCACTGTCCGATCGTCGCTGGGTCTGGGTAGTTTGTTTTCGATCTTGTTGCCCGCGGAAGTAGCAGAAGGAAGCAGTTACGAGGAGTCCCTTGCGGGGCCAGGGGGAGGGGGAGGGGGAGGGAGAGCGGACGACCCTCCGCCGGTGCGAGACCTGAAGATCCTTTCCGTGGAAGATATCCTGGTCAACCAAATCGTGCTGGGGGGCATGCTCCAGCAGGATGGACATCGTGTCGTATTTGTGGAGACGGGCACGGCAGCCTTGTCCTCGATCGACCCCTCGTTCGACCTGATCCTCTTGGATTTGCAACTGCCAGATATGCACGGTATCGACGTTCTAAAGACCCTGAGGAAGCATGCCGACCCCCTCCTAGCTGCCATGCCCATCGTCGTGGTCTCCGCCTTGGTTTTGGACCGAGAAAAGCAGGAGTGCGCCCAGGCTGGGGCCGACGGGTTCATCACCAAGCCCGTCAAGCTCGGCCTCCTCCGGCAAGAGATCAGGTCCTTGTGGGACTCGGGGAGGTTGCGGAGGCGTGAGGAGAGGGTGGAAACAGGGGCAGAGGAGCATGCTGCTGAGGAGAGGCCAGCGGGGGAGAGGTCAGGGAAGGAAGGAGGTAACTCAGGCATCGAAGATTAAGCGTGACATCGAGGAATGGGTTGAGAGGCAAGGGCTGGGTGATGAGAGGAGAGGACGAATGGATGGATCGGGTCCGGGCGTGGGAGGCAATAGGGAGGTGTAAAGACGGGGAGGCAGGTTCCGGGTGTCTTGATGGAGGGGAGTATCGTCCAAGACAGTTCCCTCCCATCCCCTCCACGAAGGACGGGGTCACCTGGTTGGGAGGTGATGCCTCAATGATACTGTAGCCTCTGAAAATGAACTTTGTGAAATTCAAATGTCGAAAAATGCATGACTAAGCACCGTGAAATTTCGAAATTCAATGCCTGTATATTTTACCGAAAAGAAAAAAGGGAAATTTTAGTAAAAAAGTAGCGATGCCGATATCTTAAATTGCACTGGTTAAATCTTTCGTCAATACAAACGCTCAGGCGATGCAGCGACCCAAATATAGGTCGCCTACGATTCGCAAAACTCTTTTCAAATTTGCCTGATGGTACCTGCATATGAGATTGTATTACAACATTTCACCGACTGAAAGCAACGGTGCAGTTTCCGGAAGGACGACATGAGACAAACATGAAGGCGATCCATCCAGAACGCTGATTTCTATTGACCACATCAGGACTTGACCCGTCCTATGCAATGGGAGAGTCCACCAGACGTTTCGCAGGCTTGAGAGCAGGTACCAATGCTTCGTCTCACTGCACACCTCGCAATATCGCCAGTCGTGCCCAGTCATATAGGGACCTCACTCCAAGCCAGCGACGTCACCAAACGCAGGAGCTTCGGCGGCACAACAGCCGTGGCCAACACGAAGGCCTGGTTCACCAGGCCCGGGACTACGACGCTGTCCCCTCGCAGCATCCCCGTCACGCCCTCACGCGCCACCCGATCGGCAGGCATAGCCAGCCCCGGGACGGAGAAAGCGGCCGCGGCCTGGGCGTGGGCGCGCGCCTGGAACTCGGTGAAGGTCGCACCGGGCAGCAGGTTCGTCACCGAGACGCCTCCAGGCTCGAGTTCGTGTTGAATGGCCAGGGTGAAGGAGGACACGAAGGCTTTGCTGGCGCTATAGACGGCCACCAGGGGCCCGGGCGCGGCGCCGGCAATGGAGGAGACGCACATGATGCGCCCACGGCCTCGGGAGGCCATCTCTTGACCGAACAACCAACAAAGCTGGGTCAGAGATAATGCATTCAAATGGACGATTTCCTCGATCTTCGCCGTGGGCATCTTTAGAAAGGAGTCGGTGTACCCCACCCCGGCGTTGTTGACCAAGGCGCTCACCTGCAAGCCCTTTTCGCGCACTACGCTCTCGTACACACGCCGGGCTGCCTCGGGACAACTTAGATCCGCCGGCACGATGTGAATGGGGACCATACTTTTCCGGTCAGCCAGCAGTGCTCGAATATCTGACGCCAACTCCTGCAGTTTATCTGCCCGACGGGCGACAAGAATGACACCGAAGCCTCTTCTCGCTAGCTCCAAGCTTATCTCCCGCCCTATCCCGCTGCTGGCGCCAGTAATCAGTGCCAGCTCTTCTTCCCCCTGAGACAGTGCAGGACATATCGGATGACGTCGTCGTAGATGGTGGAAGCCAAAGGCCCCGGCACTCAAAGCCCCCATAGTCCCTAAGACTATCCGTTGTCCCAACCCCCCGTGAGGTAAGGCGGCGTACCCGCAAAGCAACGCTGTCACTGGAGGCACGTAAAGCTGAATTTGACGTGACGGCCCGGCGACCAGCGATATGGCAAATAAACCAGCTCCCAAAGCTATCAGATTGGTCAGAAGAAAAAGAAAATGTATTCAGAAGTGTGTGTCAACATCCTCGGCCAGAAGAGAATAGTTAAGGAACATACGCCTTACATATTTGTCATGGCAAGCTTCACACAGCTTACCTTGCCAGCTTCCGGGCCCCGTTATCTTACTTTTAAGCATTTTTCCGCTTTGTAAGATCTTCGCAATTTAGTCCTGATCTGTGATGTACGCACATGATAATTTCAATCTGGAAAACGGACAGGAGGTTACGGAGTCGCCCCGGGGAGGCGAGCAGCGAGGGGGGTGTTCCTGGATATCAATTCTTCACGCCCAACAAACCTCCGCGACCGAATGAGGACGAGTCTGTAAATGAGAAAAATGTCACATTATTCGCTTGTGTCTCGTGCGATACCCGTTTCGATCAGCTCACGTATTCGCGCATCACCCCTCTCCTACACCTCAAGCCCAGGCTTCTCGTTGCAGCATCAAAGGACGCAGCGGCCTCAATATCTTCCAATGCTTCGTTCAACGACGACATCGCTCTTTCTCGTACTAGGGGCAATGTTGTGTGCAGTTACCAAAAGTTTCATCCCTGTGCCGGCACGCGCGTCCCGCTCTGCAACTTACTTCCCTGCAAAGCCCACCGCCATCTCCCTCGTGGGCTCTACAATGAGACTGACGCCCTACATGTTCATGAGCACGAGCAATTTCGACGAGCCTCTCATTCTTACTGAGGAGAATGCAGCTTTGGTTCTGGAGGCCGCTCGGCAAGAGCTTGGTACCATGTTTGGGTACACCAAGGAGAACCAAGCTGTGGGCATTACTGGGGAGGTTGACCTGGTGGCCGTTGAGGGCATCAGCATCATCGTCCGTCTCAAGAACAGGTTTTGGCACGATCGAAAGATGGTGCTAACCCGTATCTCTAAGTTTATAACGGACCGTATTCCCGAAGCTATGGTGGAAATCGAGGATGTGGAACAATTGAAGGGGGATGACGCGAAGAGCGTCTCGGATTTTTACGCGCATTAAGGCACCAGAACGGAATTCGAGAGCAATTTTGACGATAACTTGCAAGCTTGTGCTTGTGTTGGTAGCTTTTTTCATCTATTTACCAGAATCCTTATCCTGTGCGAGCGTGGCTTTCCAATCCGCCTCCAGAACTCGCCAATTTACGTCGCCCTTGAAATTGCGCGGTACCGCACCCCACCGCATCCGAGACGGTTGTGCACCTTTGGACACGCATCCCTTAGCATCCCTCACAAAATTCTTCTCGACCTCCAGCCTCTTATCCTTGCTTACACCCCTCCCGTCATTGCCTTCCCCATGATCCTCCGCGGACTGAATCTCAATCGTCACCAGGCAGTCATCCTCATGCTCGCTCCCCACCCGCAACCCGACGGCCGCCAGCGCAAAACTACCCGGAAGCAAACCGTACTTCTCCTCCGTAAAGAGCGTAAGCTCCCGCGTGATCTGCTCGTACGAGTAGTTGGTGCCACCTCGGATCAAGAGGTTGGACGTGCGTGTCACCCAGTAGAAGTCTTTCTTCCTCCCGCCTCCTGCCCCGCTCCCTCCTTCCCTCCTCTCTCCGTCCCACAACCAGAAGCCCACGTCTCCAAGGTTTGTGTACCAGCCGCCCGCCTCCGTGTGGATCGCCTGCTTCGTCGCCGCCTCCCCTTGTACGTAGCCCGTCATCAAATTTCCCCGAGTCACAATAAACCCCTTTTGGCCTTCTCTGCACTCCTGCAAGTAGGACGCTGGCGCCGCGGGGTCGATGCCTTCCACCACCATTACTTCTGTGTAAGGTGGGTGCGGTCGGCCCACGTAGAAACCAGGTTCCTCGCCCGGCTGCTCCCCCACCGCCCAGCCCCTTTGGAAGGCGTGCAACCGCTCCTCTTCGCTCACGTCCGTGGGCGTACCCATCACCTGCAGGCACGTCTCGGTCGACCCGAAGCGCACGACAGGCAAGTGGCCCACGTATTTGAGGAGACGCTGCACCGTTGCGGGCCCCACCGGTGCCGAGCCCAGCAGGAAGGTGACGACCGGGGAAACCCACTTGAGGACGTCCGGGTTGGGGACGTCGGCAAGCTTCTTCTCCTCGATCAGGCTCTCCAAGAAATCGAAATGCCGGCTGACCGTGGGACACACAAGGCGAAGCTTGCTGGCTTGTTGGGCTGTGACCAGGGGCTGAGCCACGGAGGGCGTGGAAGGGAGGGGCGCGGAGCGTGGGAGACCTAGGGCGAGACGTGCGAGGGCGGGCCAGTAGGACGTCGTGTAGCGTTCGAAGAGGTGTAGATGGGTGCCGGGGCGACGCAAGGCCCAGTCCGTGAAAGCGGTTGAGTTGGTGTGATGCAAGGGGTTGGCCAAAAAGGGCGTGAAGCGAGATGCGGGGTCTTGAAGGAGGAGGAAGGCCTCGAACGTCTCCCGGTTCCTCACGTAGTTCCCATAGGAAAGGCGGACGCCCTTGGGCTCACCCGAGCTCCCCGAAGTATAAATAATAACACGGGTGTCATCCTTGCCAAGGTCTGACTCAAACAAATCCTCGTCGGACGCAACGTCTGCTGCCTGCTGCCCCTCTTCGCCTCTGCCGTGCTCAAGCATGTCTTCCACAGCCATCACGGCTACCCCCGGTATCTTCGACCGCACTTCCGCTACCTGCTCTAGAGGTGTTTTGGCATGTATCAACACAACTTTCGCGCGACTGCTCTGCACTTTGAAGACGACGCGGTCGAGAGGGTCAGAGTCCCAGTTCACTGTTACGGGAACAGTCCCCGTCATCACGGACGCCAGACGTAAAGCAACATCTTCCGCGCTGTTTCCAGCAAATAAGTGCACTTGGCAGTCCCCTTTCTTAAGCTTTGCATGCTTAGTCAGGACGTAGGCAAAGCGGCGACTCAGTTCCCATAGCTCCCGCCGGGACCAGGTCGTTTTGAAGGCGGGGGTGTGGCAGGAGGCGGAGGAGGAAGATGAGACGGGATAAAACGTCAAAAAAAGCTCGTCTTCGTGCGGTGGCCCGAACGCCGGTAGGTAGTCAAGCAAGGCTGACGAAGGCGGCATAATTTGACCTGTGGTGTAGGGGACAGGGGTAAGTATTCTTCAATCAACGGCGTCGCATTTAGTGAGAGCGAGGCAGGCGCGTGCGTCACGCGCTTGGGATTTAATGACTGTGCGCACCGTACACCCAAGAATTTGCACGTGCTCATTCAGAGAGGAATTTTCGACCCTCTAATGAAGCGCGAAATGCATCAGTCAGAGGAAAAACCGGCTCAGGCACGTGGGCTTAAGCGGGACCCTGTCGAAAACCCCTCGCCGTGACGTCCGACTCGAGTGCACTAGTTATGCAGCATACCCCCCCCCGTGCAAGTCTGTGTCTTATTGCCAAACATCGCTCCGCTGAAATGAAAACCCCTCATAGAGTTAATTTGAGAGATTCTAACATTGTTTTCCACGTCGTGAGCAGCATGCAGACCTTGATGCTTTGAGTGTTTAAGCCTGTCCTGATGCAATATCGAACATTTGAGCGAAGTAAAATACACCTAAATGCCAAAAAAACTATTACCACATTATAAAAAAGATTTTTTAATTATCCTCGTCACGTATGTGAGACTGCATGCTGTTTAGAAGTTTGAGGACTGTTGTTGCCGTACTGTGGCTGTGTCGACGTACGATGAGTTGTCGTCGTGCAAAGCACACGCTCAGGACAGTGCACAAATGTGCTGCCTTATTCAGATTTAAATCCGTATCAAGTATTCGAGTCTTCCCAGATATGCATGAGTCTTCCCAGGTATGCATGAACGACTCTCGCACAACAAAAAAGCAAACCCTAACAGCCAGGAAAATCGCTTCTCGCCACGCAGGCCCCTTTAAAATTCCTTCTTTGGATCCGTCTAAACCCTTCATCCAGAGCGTCTTCCAGCGCACCAACTTTCAGGTTATACACGCATCATTCAACCCTTCACTGCATATCCAATTCTATCCCACAGTGTACCCGGCGCATGCGATACTCTAAGCAGACAGATCCTTAGGGTCGTAGGGGAGCCCAACACTTTTCTTGAAATCTGCTGTGAGAGCCGGATACACCATCCAGCAGACCATGATACCTGGAATGTAGTGTACCAACGACAGGAAATGAGCGGGCTGACTTGACGACATTCCAACACGTCTAACAGCACAAAAGGAGGCCAGATCTTGTGAAAGTGGAAAAAGCAAAGGTGGGACTAGATTCTCGCTACTTTTAGACTATCCCACGGAGTTCATCCCAGTGTCTCGAGGATTCTCCAAGGTGAACACCGGGCACACGCTGACAGCTCTATACTGCACAAATTCTCGGCATGTAAGATGGCTGAAAGCGACACCGTCCTACCCATTTTCGATGAGCACTCTTCATACCAACCTTTTCCCGCCCAATAGAATCCTTACCAGCTGGAGCACCCCAGGGTGCCAAGCGCATGGCCTCCCCGGTTACTTTCTTCATCATTTGAGATGCGTACTTCTGAGCCATCGCCGTGTTGACAGGAATCATCTTGAGCTCGTCTGGCCTTGAGCAAGGTTGGGCCTGGGAATAGGGCATAGAAGGAGTGGAATTAAATAAATGCGTTTCGGCTGACATTCATTTTAAAACAATTAAGGGTAAACAATGTTTTATACGTAAAGTTGTACACCGATTAACGTTTGCCCCAGCAAACAATTGCCTAGCAAGGCCTGGTTATATACCGGTTTTCGAAGCGTCACGTTGTGCGACAACGGAGCAAGCAAACGAACTGGCTCTAACCTTGCATCTATGACCATTCATCTGTCTGTAAAAATGCAAGCGTAAGCGTTCTAGGGGTGCAGCACCGTTTTCATACTGATTTTGCGAAGGAAACGACGTGCATGGCCGCTGAATGTTACGCTGTGCATTCCTTGGCCTTGCGCTTTCTTCACTTCTCCCGCGATCCTCCGAGTCATGATTTTATGAAATTGATCGCAAGAAGTGTTTAGAGCCTGATAGTGACACGGACGTGAAATGGAGCGGCCTGGTGCATTCATAGCATGTGCGCACCTGTGATGCGAGGCGTTTGGCTTTGCCTGCCCGCCTTGCTGCTTTATTGGTTTTTTGCGCGAAACTCCCGGGTAGCTTAATGCGGCGACAGGGCAAAAACAGTAAAACAAATCGTTCTAAACTTTTCGTTCTAAGACGCGGTCATGAACTTTTTTATAAACAATCATTATGCCAATTTTTTGTTTTCCTTGACGAATTGACGCCCTCCTCGACGTTGCATGGAAAGTTCGTGTCAGTAGCGCTCTTGCGACATAATTAAATACATCCTGCGCTTGGCCAGTTTTTTTTTACCACGGGATGGCCCTTCTTGCTCGATAGAAATATCCTCCATGACATTCCTTAGAATGAAGCACCGCCCATACGACATCTAATGCTGCTTGCTCGGGAGAAAGCGCGTTATGTGCGGCATGCTCATCACACATGGCGGTGTTGACGTCTCCCGGACAGATGGCAACTATTCGGGGTTGATGCGCCCGCACCTTCATGTCTTTAGAAATTAGTGCATCAACCCTGCTTTGCAGCAGCTGAGTCGCTGCATTCAAAACTGCTTTCGAAAAGCTGTAAGCCGGCCAAGAAACGGGCGCCAAACCCTCACCGCGTGGCCACGGACCTTCCTGTTGCATCTGCGCGACCCAGTCCGAGAATTGTTTCAATTCAGCTAGGCTTCGCACTCTCTTTAACCTCTTGGCAACCTCACTGTGCAGGTATGCGAGCTCTCCGTCGCCACTTGATATATTTACAATGCAACCAAACCCGTGTTTACACATTCCGGGCAAGCAGGCCTCAATCAACGCCACCGGGGCCCATGTATTTATGTCGAAAACGGAGCGATAGACTCCCTCTCTTCCTCCACTGCCCTCTACGGCGGCAGCTGCGTCTTCATCTCTCACACATATGCCGGCATTGTTAATCAAAACGTGAGGCACCCCTCCCCGCATCTCCTCGTTCCGCTTCATTTGATCGACAAAAGCCTTGATGCTTTTAGGCTCACTGACGTCTAAAGCCATGAACTCACAACGATTTTGACCATGTCGGCGTTGTATGTCTGCCACACGAGCTTGGCCCTCCTCTGCATTCCGCGCCGTTAAAATGACATGGTACCCCACTTCAGCCAACAGATCGGAAATGGCCAGACCCAGACCGCGATTGCCACCCGTGACTACGGCGGTAATGCGCGGTGTGAATCCATGAAATAGTGGAAAGAGAAGCACAAAGAGCAAGACAGGAAACACCATTACCTCCCCTTTTTTGAGGTCTCCACCCGGGGGACGAATCACCGCCACAAAAGCGGTGGTCCACTTTTACGTCATTGAGAGCCTGTGCGATAGTTCACATGTGTAGACATCGGCGTAAGTGAGTCTCAAAGTGAAACAACAACCAATGTAATCGTTGGAAATAGGCTCCACACATCGCTGGGACCGAGGGCATTCCATCGCCTCTGGCTGTTGCCAGTGAGGTTGCAGCTTGCGCTCTTGTGTGACACCAATAATTCTCCGGATCCCCGGACCCGTGAGATTTCATTCACGATTGAGTGAAATGGTCAGACACCGAGTCTCAAATTTCATAAAACCCTGAGATGTAATGCTTGCAGCACGGGTTCCAGAGTCGCGGAGTCAACAAGCCAGCGCAAGCACAAGTATCCACGCGTGCTATCAAGCCTCGCCTTCTGTCTTGGCTGCTCCCACGCTCTCAGTGATGCCACACGCACCTTTCTTACGCCTCTTTGAAACCCTTCAGGCACGAATCTCCTCGCTGTTATTTGCATTGCCATCAGAGGTCGTGAATATGCGCTGTTGGTTGGCTACGGCCTCTGAGCTGGTGCTCATCTTGGCCCTGGTAAGCAGTCTTCCTTCAACGATGGCATTTGTACCGACAGCAACACGCCGCAACCCGCTCGTGCGACCATCGCTTGTTTCTTCCTCCTACACTGTCTCCCATCAGCAGCAGGTGAGAGCGTGTTGCGACTGACTGAGTGGCGTGCGCGTGTGTGGGCATTGGCATTGAGATTTGTGACGTGGCGTGATAGTTCTCCCCCTCAATTTCTTCGCCTGGAACCCAATACTCTACGATTTCTTTAAATAGGTCCCGTTTCTGTCAGTCCGTGACTCGAAACTCTTTGCTTTGGACGACGCGGATGAAGTCACCAAGAAATACGGCCTGGAAGCAGGCCTCTTCTCCATTTTCAAGTCCGGAGGAAACAAGGAGGGAAAGACCGTGCAGGCAAAAGATCTACTTGCCAAGTATGGGTCAGCGTATCTGATTACTTCAATCTCTCTTTCTGCTGTCTCCTTCGGTCTGTGCTATGTCCTCGTGACCGCGGGTGTGGATGTACCAGCTCTCCTCGCACGGGTTGGTATCACGGCGAGCACTCAAACGGAGACTGCAGGAACGGTTGCTCTTGCCTATGCTGCCCACAAGGCGGCGTCACCCATACGTTTCCCACCCACAGTGGCATTGACTCCTTTCGTCGCAAATGCCATCGGAAAGAAGCCTGCTGATGGAGCAGACGAAGTAGAGTAGATTTTAAAGATTGGGGAAGATTTGCGAGTGCAGGGCAAGATGACTGGATGGACGAAAAGAAGTTAAGTAGGGTCCTGAACAAATTCGAAGAGTTAAAGGTTGGCTGGAATAGATGTGGAAGTGAAATATGGAAAACTGGTGCAAAGGAAATCAGTTGACAGGCTTACATGAACAAAGGCCGCGCAGCGCACGAAATAAAATGTGGCCCGCGAGAAAATGGTGGAAACAGCTGCAGCTGGTAGACGATGTGAAATTTCTACATAGCAGGTATGGAATTCTACTCAAGGCACGATTACGACGAGTGCAATCTGGAGACGCGTGTCCGACTACTTTGTCGCAATAAGGACTAGAGTTAAGCGATGATTATACGACAGGCGAGATCGGAAGATTCTTGGAATCTCACTGGAATGAAAAAGTTTCCTATATGTACATTGTCGGAGCAAGGGAATGATCCGTCATCCAGCTTTTTGATTTAAACTACTTTCTTTTTTGCTTAACAAAGGGAGGAAGGAGAAGTGGCAATATCTAAGTTTGGTGCCATGACTGTAGTGATGACAAATTAGTCGATGTGGTGGTTGAACGGCATAGATACATCATATTTGTGTCATAACCTAGAATTTAAGCAGTTAAAAGGCATGGTGCCTTAGACGGCATGATCCTACCGGCTCCGTAATTACCGCCGTTCCACATCTCGACAACAGAAAAAAGGTGAAAATCGAGAAGAACCTGAAGGACATGCGTCTTTCAAAGCAAGGGGCGTATGTAAGGCCTTTCATGACATGAAAACAGCATTATAAGTCCTATCCTTCCTTCCCGTGCCTTCCCCTGTCCCCCCTCGCCAAACTTTCTTAGCGAGGAAGGGGAGTCGGGAGCCGCCTTGAATCCCGTAGGCCATGCGGAATAGAAAAGCACCAAACCATGTGCAAACACCTAGCGAATTAATATTTATACCTATGCTTACGGTGTGGTACACCGCCTTTGTCGCGCCCGTCGCCCATTTTGTTCTCGAAGCATCCCGCTCTCGCACGATGCGGAACAGAGCGCGAAGGCACCCATAAATATGGTATGACGCCGTTACGTGCACGTTAAGCGTCCGACCATCATTTTCAGGCATGCGAATAAGTGTACAGCTATGTCTGCTCCTTGCGTATAATTGCATCCTTGATGGCATACTTAGCATACCTGGCTTTGGAAAGTCGATGCGTCGGAAAGTAGAGGAGTTGAGCACTCCCTCTTTCGACAGGTGCTTGGCGTGCAGCAAGCGCGGGAGAAGTGCGCCAACGCACCGACCGCATCGAAGAGGTCATATGCTGATTCCTTCCCCCCCTGTCTCTCCGTAGCTGGCTTCCGCCTGGGCCTTCTGCTGTTCTCCCCCAGGAGATCTTGCGCGATGTTCGTGAAACAGGCAACAACAGACCGGTTGCTCGGTATGCTAGTTACCCTCGCCACGGGCGCTGCCATCTTCTACATCCAGGTGAGTTTGTGGTAAAATAAAGGATGCGGAAGGGCATTTAAGGGCAGTAATGTCCAACACTTGCCCTCCTGCTCCTTTAAATACGCACAGCATGGTATAAAGGCGTTTGTTAATCGGCGGAAGTCAGGCGCTAAATCCGAGCGGCCACATCCCAAGGAGGTACGTGCAACGTCCAGCATGTTTCTGACTTATTAGCTTTATGGTCCCATGAGCATTCCTGCATCCGCGTCAATTCGTTCTTTGCAGAGACTCAAAGTAGGAGGTCGAAGCGTGTCACGGGCATGCCGCAACTTAGCTTTACTCGAGCTCTTTCCCTCCGCACTCAAAGCGATCATAGGCTTACGCTTTGCTATGCGCATCTCACCCATCCCGCTCCATACCATCCACATTTTCGGATACAACACAGGCCACTAACTACGGTGACCCATATTTTCGCGCACGGTGGGGCCATATGACTGGGAAAGGGGGCATTTTCGAGTTAATCCATCACTCGGGCGCCTGCATGTGCGGGCGGTTCGGCTTCCGACTCTTGGCACCTGCGGATTTGAAGGCTTTGGACTGTCCCGGTCCTGTACGCTATCCCCACGTCTTCGTCCCCGCGAGCGCCTTCCAGCCGTTGCAAGACCTGCGGCTTCTGACGCTGTACACGGCCCGGGGGCTCCTGGGGGGGCACGTAGTCGTGCACGCCTTCTGCACCGCCTGTGGGGTGCCCATCTTCCGCGCCTCGGACGGGGCGATCGACACCCTGGTGGTGAATGTCGAGTGTCTGCATGGCGCGAGTATTCGGAGTGTAGAAGTCACGTACTACGAGGACCTGCTCGGCTTCCCCCGAGGGAGCCGGGAGGCGGCCGGGGCGACAGCAGCGGGGGACGATCCTTGCAGAGCGAGGGCGTGGGAGAGGGGGAAGGCAGCCGGGCCCGAGGATGTCTCAGAGGGATCGAGACCAAAGTCACACGGTGGCAGCAGCAAGGTGGCGGCGGAGGGGGCGCTGGTAAAGAAGGGATGGGGCCAGGGAGTAGGCGTGGGAAGCGGCACGACGTGGGGCGGGCGGGTCTCAGGGCTGGTGGAGAATGCGCTTCCTTTCCGGAACGTCTTCGGTGGATCAGGCAGCAGCTTAGGGGGAAAAGTGCGCGACGGGTGTGGCTACCACTCCTCGGCTTCGGTCCAAACAACGGGCGCGACTTCCCTCCTATCCCATCTTCTCTCCCGCGCCTCCCTATCGATGCGGCCCGCGCCAGGCGGGCTGCTCTCGATCGAGGCGGGCGGGTCGGCAGCGGAGGAGGAGGGACTCGCAGAGAGCGGAAGCCCGGCGGGCAGCCAGGAGACCAGCCCGGTCATGCCCACGGAGGGGTCCGCGGACAACATGTGGCTGGCGTGGGACGAGTCTTGCGAGATCAGGAGAGATCGAGGGGAGACTGACGGCGTTGGACGCAGGGGCTGGGGCCAGCCCCCCCCCCGACGAGTGACCAGCTCGACGAGGATGCTCATGTCAGGTGTGAGTGAGCTCACTGTCCCGCTGCCGGGGCAATCCGACGCCGCCTCCCAGCGAGTAATAGGACCAGCGCCCGGATGGGAGCGAGTGAGTGACGGCTGCACGCCACCCTCCATGCACCAGCTCCGGTACCACTTAAAAAGGCACTTAAAACGCCGGCTAAACTGGCTGAGCTCGAACGGCGGGGGTGAAACCGGCCTGGGAAGAGGGGACTTGGAGGAGAGGGAGGACTTTGGAGAGACGAGGGCATATCCAGGCGACCAGCATTTTTTTCAACATCACGAGCACGAGCCGGCGCCGTTTATCGAGGAGGAAGAAACCATCCACTCGGCATATGGCCTCAAGAGCCGTCAGGTGGAGGGCTTGCCATCAAAACATCAGCGGCGGATGACCACGCCGACTCCGCCGCCATCGCCATCAGTAAGATCAAGTTTTGCCTCAACCCCAGCCACTCCACTAGCCGATGCCACTCACAAACACTCTGCCAACACGAGCATCTCCTCCAGTCCGCATTCACAACAAGTTTTCCCATCTCCGCAGTCGGAAGAGGCCCGCACCAAAAAGGGTGGGCTTTGCGGGACGCCTCCGAATGGGATTAGAAAAAAATCAAAACAAGCTCGAGGGGGGAGGGAGAACAGAGCGACGGTGCCGAAAGGCACCAAAGCTGACTGACGGTGTTGAAAGATAACTGGTCATTGCAGGAATGTGTGCGCGCAGAAAGATGGAACAGATGGACCCAGAGACGCGCACACGCACGACAAGCATTCTTGAAGGTATGGGCCACAGTGCCGTAATGCGTACAATGTCTCTATCTTCCTAGTTGATAGGAAGTGGAACATAATGCAGGGAACGGAAGCGAGACAAAATTTTACATATGCATACGCAAACTAGCAGGTAAATTGTCTCTCGCCCTATCCTTTTGCCGATCCGGAGAAAGTTGTAAGTTTAGGATGCCTGACTGCTGTGCATTTTTTGGGATGACGAAGACCGAGACATTCATGTCCGTCCGCTTTTCTCTTAAGAATCGGGTATTTTTTATTGTAATGCAAAAGCAAAATCCAAAAGTTACTTTGTCAAGTGCTTCAGTTGCCACAAAAAACGTAAATGCGTCCACATCGAGAACTTTTCCCGTGGCTGGGGTCGGTGGATCCTCCGAGCCCAGTTGAACCGACGGCGAGGAATTACTAGCCCGCCCGACCTGCAAAGTCGCCCAGCTCGTGTGTCGCACGGCGCATTAAATAAGCATCACATTAATGAATGAAGCATCTAAGTTCTTGTGTGTCAAATGTTTTTTCGGGAAATTCAATGTCCTGTACGTCTCAAACGGGCCACATTTCTTGCGTCGGGACCGAGGCCGGAGGGAAAGAGGCGAGCGTTCCTGCAGGGACGGACATCGGCTTACCACGTCGCACACGAATAACACATGACAATCCATCTTCCACCAGATCATGCCAGTGACTCCATACCAGTAAGCTCGAGAAGCAGGCTGCAGTACCCGGGACCTGCCGGTTTGATTTTGGAAGTGGTGTGTAGCAAGCTGTTTGCTGTCGGGTTGCGACGTCCTCGCCAGGTTGTTCCATAAACAAGTCCTTTCCCAGAAGTGGCGCTCAATTATCAAATCATCGCACTATCAAGCTTGTAGAATGGATCGGGCTGCTATTCACGCCACAAGCAGGGCAAGACGGTGGCATTATCTGCTACCTGGCCTGTTCGGATGCCTGCTCCTGGGCATTTCGTTGACTCCCACACCATTTTATCAAAGGGGTATGGGGTCAAGTGATCGAGGCGTAGGCATCAAGAAATCGACGGATGATTTTTGGTTGCGTGCCAAGCTAACACAGCCCTCTCAAGAGGCTCTCGTCTCTCACACGGGGAAAATTGCTGAGAAAGACGACTCTTCGAGCTTATTGCTGTACTTCGCAGAGGCACGCAAAGAGGGGCAATTGAGCGCCTCGGCTTTCGGTGAAGTCGAGAGACTCCTCCAACAGCACGAGCAGCAATACAAGCCTACACAGAAAGATGCGACATTGTCTCATCCATCTTGGCCCTTGTCGGGGGCCTCTGGTGGCGAAAAGAGCCGTGACGTGGCGCTTCAGGACAAAATTTACTGGAAGGGCCGCGAGCGCCGAGAAGCCGAGTTGGCCAAACTCCATCACAACTATTCCGCAATCAAGCCTTTCGATGGATGGGGCCCCATCTACATCTGGGACTGGTTCAACCCCGACTACGTCTGTTCCAGCATGGAGCGCGTGGGCCGCGTGGGCGACGGAGGGAAGTGGATGTGTGACTTGGCGACCCTGCGGGCAAGGGCGGTCGAGGCGCACCGACCCTGCATCGTGTACGCCTTCGGCATCAACGACGACACCTCCTTCGAGGAGGAGCTCGTGAATCGCACAGGCTGCCAAGTCTTCGCCTTCGACCCCACCGTCAAGGATCTGCCAGCCTCCGCGGCTAACGTGACGCCCGCCCTGCAGTTCTACAAACAAGCCCTCGGTCCCCGGGATGGACCTTCGCGGAATTTCCTCATGGAGCGAAACTTGCTGAGCATCATGAAAGAACTGGGTCACACCTACGTGGACGTGCTCAAGGTTGACGTGGAGGGAGCGGAGTGGGCATCGTTCGCGCCCGTCTTCGGGGCGGGGCCCCTCCCTGTTGGGCAGCTCCTGATCGAGCTCCACTACAAGGATGTGGCCACCACGTTCGATTTTTTCACAAACCTGGAAGGGGCAGGCTTTCGGGCATTTTCCCGCGAGACCAACTACCACCCCTGCGTGACGGGCAAGATGCCCGTGGCGATAGAGTACTCCTTCGTGCACCCATACACTTATCCCACGGGCGACCCCACGCCGGCCTCCAAGGCCATGCTGGCCCGCCAACCCGACTACGAGCCCAAGAATGGCGTGATCTACATGCTCACACAGCAGGCACGTGTGCACACGCACCTTCTTGGCATGCTGGAGGGGCTCGACAAGCACTTCAACGCGGCCCCAGGGCGCGGTTACCCCGTCTTGATCTTCCACGACGACTTTACCCCCGAGGACGAGGCGCTCGTGCGGGCCAGCACCACCAGCAACGTCTCCTTCTACCGCGTCTCCTTCCAGGTCCCGGCCTTTCTGGACAAGGAGCGTATCCCGGAGCGGACGGAGTGCAGCAAGCACTCGTCCACCCTCGGCTACCGACACATGTGTCGCTTCCTGGGCCTCCAAGTCCAGCACCTGCTCCAGGACTTCGAATGGCATTGGCGCCTGGACGACGACTCTGTCTTTCTGGCGCCCATCGGCTACGACCCTTTCCGGATGATGGCGGAGAACGGGAAGCGGTACGGGTTCAACCGCATCCTGCATGACAACGCGGACTGCGTGGTGGGCCTCTGGGACGTGGCCAAGGAGTTCGCCCGGAGCCGCGGCCTCTCCCCAACCTTCCTGGACAATTGGGATGCAGGCGTCACCTTTTACAACAACTTCGAAATCTCGCACCGGTCCATATGGACCGACCCCGTCGTGCAAGATTTCATGGATCACATCGATGCGCTTGGCGGGATCTACTACGTGCGGTGGGGGGATGCGCCCATTCGCTCGCTGGCAGTGGCCATGGTCGTGCCCGAGACGGAGGTCCACTTTTTCTCCGACGTGGGGTACGCGCATTTGCCCTACCATCGGCACGAGCCTCGTGCGTTGCCGTCGCCCTTGGAGGGCGCACTCTGGCACTTGGACGGAGCCCACGAATACATCCGGGGCGTGGAGGAAGACCAACAGGTGAAAAAGGCGAGGACCATGGTGCGGCGGCGGCAGCACGGGGTCGTGGTCATCTTGAGCACGCGCGAGCGCTTTGACTACCTGAAGAGGTGCCTGGCATCCTTTGAAAAGCACTTCAACCAGCACCATGGATACCACGTGTGGATATGGTCTCATGGACTTAGCTACGACCAGCGCCTGGAGCTCCGAGCCTTGTCATCGGCGCCCATCCGCATCGACCTGCTCGATCAGCCCCTGAACCTCACCGCCCCAACAAGCGCCACGGAGGCGGCCAGGACGCCGTGTGGACCCCGGGATGCCCACTCCTCGCGGCTCCGTGGGTGGGAGGTGTCGCGGGTCATCGCCAAGCGATACTTCTGGCAGTGGCGCCTTGCGGACGACGCCGTTTTTACGGAGGACCTGGTGGAGGACCCGTTTTTGAGGATGGCACGGAACAAAGCCACCTACGGCGTGGCGGCCGTGCGCCCTGTCCCCCTGTCGGCTGGCGCCTGTGTGGGACGCTTGGTCGAGGAGGCGACCAGAGGGTTGGGATTGGAAGGGGAGGCGGTAGCGGAGGTCCGTGACATGGTGGAGTCGGTCTACTTCGATCCAAGCTTTGAGGTCTCCCACCAGAGTGTCTGGACAGATTCCAAGTGGAATGCCCTGATCGAAGTCCTCGAGACCAGCGGGCTCGCTGTAGACGGGGACGGGGAGAGCCCAACGTCCTTTCTGGGGAATGTGGACGACGCTTTCCTCCGGAGTCTAGGCGTTACCTTACACCTGCAGGGAGGCATGGGCGCCTTCCACATTTTTGACGACTTGCACCCGGTGGACCTCTCCGCAAGCCTGTTGCCATGGTCGGAGCCGCCCTCCCACCCGACCCAGGAGTCGCATATCCGCGTGGGAGAACACCGGGTGACAGTGTCGCAGGACTCGCATTCGCTCACCGCCTTATTCCGCCCCCGGCACCTTGGCTTCCTGGATGCCGAACTGGGGCCGCCCGTCCCTATTCCGCGGCATGTGTCTTCTTCCGACGCCACTAGGTCGGGAGAGCCAGATACCGACTTGGATATCGCCTGGATTTTGGGTAAGACTCGCATTGGCCACTTGAATAACACCAAGCCAGAAGCCGCCTTCGAGCTGGATGACGCGGTGGCCATGCTCTCTGCCGCCGAGGGGGACGCTGACTTCTTTTGGAGGCACACGGGCAGTCAACGTGCACCCAACGCGATCTTCAACGACGGCACGTTGGGGACTCACCAGGCCCTGGTGCCCAGCGCGGGCTTGGCGGTGGTCCCTGAGGACCATCCGGATGAGGTCCGTCTTGTCGTGCTCTGCCAGATCCGAAATGTCAGCGGAAACGTCTATGAAGGACAGCGCACCCAACTGGGCTCGGCGATAGCGGTGGTGAGTAATGCCCATCAGAGGCCTGAACTGTGGGAGTACGACATGCGGCGGATCCCCGGTACACATACCTGGAGCGGATGGCACACCGCCCTGACCCTGGTCGATGGGAGCAGCGTCTCCCGAAGACCATCGACGGACTACGTTTACATCTTGGGGGAGCGAGCCGCCAACATCACGACGCAGGACTCCTCTTACATCAAACGGGAGCACCTCGTGGGCAAGCTGCCTGTATCCTCGTTGCTGGCTATGTCGATGGAGGCCATGGAGTTCTTCGTTGGCCGGGCCCCAGGGGATACGAGCCGGGAAACGAACGGGAGCAAGGGCCAGTGGGCGTCCTTCGCGGAGCATTTCCTGCCGGCCCATGGCCAAGTCGAGGCTGGCATGCCCTCGGTCGAGGCCCTCTTCCCGTCGGCGGACGGCAAGGCGACGGCCTTGGCGGCCGAGAGCGTGGGGATGGGCTATTTGCCAGGACCGAATCTGTGGTTCGTCGGCGACATTGTTCCGCCTGCCCAAGGGCGCCGAGGGCTCGGAAAACGTCTTGTCCTTAAAACGGCCGAGGCGGTCACGGGGCCCTGGGAGGACCACAGTGTGGTGGAGTTGCCTCTGGATTATTCAAGGCGCCAATACGTCTGCCCCAGCCTATACGTCCTCCCCAGCTACTCGCGAGACCGGGCGTGGGAGGCCGCGATAGGCCTTGCGTGCTCGATCAAGGGCCACGGGGTTCGCCCGGTGATTGGAGGACGTTCCACTTCCACCGTCCAAGTCGGGCCCACCATGGTAAATGTGTTTCGACTCGGCTTTCAAGCTCTCTCCGATACAGAGGTGGATGCAATACCAACACGATAGAGGAGAGGACGCAAGCAATGCATGGTGAGCGTCATTGCAAGCGATAATATTAGTGCACATTGTGAATAAAAGGCGAACGTGGCAAACTGAGTGAATGCGGGCGAGATGCCTGCGCATGTTTGTAGAGACACGCGAGGTGTTCACATATGCTTGTAATGGTTGGCGATAAAAACAACATGTCGATTAAAAATGCGAAAAATATGAACTAAAGTGACGACAATAGGTAGCTTGTCCCAACTTCTCAATTGAAAACGAAGCACTTAGTTACTTTCAATTTCTTGTCGGGCTGCCGGTCGTTCAGGTCGTTTTTTTTACATTGCCTTCAGCAAACTTACATCTTCGGAAATTTACATTCTCATACAATATGCACGTCGGAGCGAGGCGTCCGTTAGTGAGTACCTTCGTGCCCTGGGGCCTTGACTTTCTCCACGCCTTCGCGCTGTCGCGCCTCTACGACACGACGACCCCCCTGAATGTCCTCCTCGGCCATCTCTCCCATGGATTTGAAAAAGGCCGCCTTCAGCTCTAAAAGTCTAAGGAGACGAGCGTCCTGATCCAGATTATCTGCACGTGTCAAGTGAGCTACGTATTTGCCATCGTTGTAATTGAATAAGACCGCATCTTCTCCGCTATAGTAGCGCTTCACAAGCGCCTTTCCCATAGGATGTCTAGACAGCACGTCGTGGAACATCTGAAAGAGGAATTAAAAAGAAATATAATAAGAAATTAGATGATATGCCCCGTCCCATCCACCAAAAAAGTTGTCTCCTCCTCGGCACATGGCCGATAGGATGCCTAAGTCAGATTGACCCTCCGTAAGTCTCTTTTCGGCTCAGCGACGTTAGCCCCTTTTTTCTCCTTTACCTGCTGATCGTCCCGCACGCGCGGTCCTTGCCCCATGGTGATGTACGCTGCCGTGCCCCCCCCTCTTTCCAAGGTCCACGGCGCCACTTTTTGCACGGCTGCCATCCATTCCTTCATCAAACTTCCAAATTCCTTGTGCCGCAGATTGAAGAATGCAACGCCAATATTTATATCCCAGAATAGGTCGGGATCATCACCACCTCGGCAACCCAGCACGGCGTACCGATCGTCGAGCAAATCCTCCACATTCAAGCGTGGATCCCGGACTATGGCGTCTGGATCCAAGAAGAGTACCCACTCATACCGTCTCGACTCATGCAGCGCGTGCAGTAGAAAAATTCGATTGTAGGTGGCATGCCAGGCTTGTCGTCCTTTCATCAGCCCGTCCCACCGCAAGTAGTGGAAGCCACGTTGAGCAGCGTAAGCGAGATGAGTGCTTTGGAGAGCGTCCAGCATCTTGGAGTAAGTGCTCGTGGAGCCTCCGTCCGACGTTTGCAAAAGGAGAATGTTAGATTTGGCGCAACCACCTCCACAGTCATACGATACATAACTCCGCGCCTTGCCCAGCAAAGGCAGGTCTTGTCGTAGTCGAGCAGGCGCCCCCGCGTTTATGCCACCTAACCGAAGGAGATGCAGAAAATTGCCCCCACGACCATTCCTACGCTCTAATATCAAATTGGTGACGAGTAAGCACGTGACTAGTACTGCTATCCCACTGACAATCACACGCATGTGCGCCTTCCGGACGGCGGTCAAGGAAAAGAAACAAACGTTGTGCCACCCCCGGTGTTGCTTGATGTAATGATGGATAAGCCGCTTCGTTGGCCGGTTCGAATCCATTGTAAGGGTACCCTGGATGTAGAGAGGGCAGGAAGAGGGGTTATTGTATGTCAACGCATGCACGGATTGCTCGCACAACGCAAAACAATTTCTCGTAAGCTTTGATCCGATCGACAAGAGACTACGCACCGATCGCTCACTCGCACGGGCCTTTGCGTTGTGTCACAGCATGATTCAGCAGTTTTGGTGGAAAAATCGCTGGAGACACAACCTATGCTTTACAAACATGGTTTTTACGAGTTCTAGAGGTTGCAATGAAATTATTGTCAGGGGGTGGATATCATTTTTAGATTGAGACGATCAGGCGGCGTCAACGCATGGAGGAGGTTGACAGAGAGGACTCAGCGCATTACCTCGAAAAAAAAAAACTCGTCCTTTTACAAATGTGAAGACGAAGACGTGCGAGCATAATCTTAATTTTATCCTTCGTGAGCAATCGGCATGCTGATTCAGAGCTCCGCACAAGTGACTTTTAATTGCAAGCTGCACCACGTCTGTAATCCTTTTTGCATTTCTCCCTGGCGTTCGTTTTCAAAAGCTCCGTCCCCGCGAAAAAAGATTCCACCCCAGCGTATTATCTCTCTTTCAAAGGCAGCCTTCAATAAAAAAGCAAGCTCTTCTAATTTGAAAAAGAGATGTGCATTGTACCTCTGCCCAAAGCTTCCATCGACCTTGCAACTACGTCTTGCTCTGCTTTAATTCCACGAAGACTCGTTTTCCCTTTTTCGTATTCGCACCCTTATCAGTATAGAACTACGCGCGAAATATATGCTCCGCACGATTTTCTCTGCATCTCGAAGTCGAGTTATTTGTGCGCTTCCACAAGGCCCAAGAGCTTATCCTTGGCAGCACCCATCAGCTCCCCAACTTTCTTTCCATCCTTGTACACTTGAAAGGTAGGCATGGCCGATATTCCCGCAAAAGCTGCAACTTCCTCATTCTCATCCACATCGACCTGGGCGGCCGAGGGAGCACAGGTGGAAAAAGAGAAATTTGCGTGTGAGTGACGAGCTGGCAATTCGTCGCCTTCTTACGATAGACCTTTAAAGACCTTGGATATATCGATGCGGGCTGAGGGACCCATCGTTATTGCATTCAGGATCGTACCTTGATGAAAACGACGTCAGGAAATTTCGTCGATAGTTCCTCAAAATAAGGAGCAATCACCTTGCAAGGCCCGCACCAAGTGGCAAAAAAATCCACAATCACGGCCTTGTTGCCTGCGCTGTTCAACACCTCGTAGAATTCTGCCTTGTTAGATACAATCTTTACCATTGTTGAATATTTGTCTTCTTGACGCTGCAGGGAAATAGATAAGCCGTGGGCAGGAGGGTGGATCAGTGCGATGAACCCCCAAAAAACTAATCGCACATGCCATTTCTCGTGGAACTATGTCACGTCGTTCCAAACTCTGCTTATTTAGCATACTACTATGAAAAAAGGTGGGGCGCTCCATAGAGGTCGTTGTTCTTCCTCGATTTGAAGAAAGGTAAGGAGGCCAGCGTGCTTCTTCCAATTCCGGCATCACTCACCAAGCATACGTCCCACACAGTCAAGATCAAAACATGCCATGTCTTTAAGAAACGACTTGTCCTTTCCACCCTGAAAAATCCCAGACTTCCTGTTGTCCAAGGCCCTGACGGCGGGTTTGCCTCGCCTCCTCGCTCAAGAAGAAAAACAACCGTACACGCCAAAGAAACCGTCACAGCGCCTTGTCGACACAAGGCCCCCCTCGAGCGTCCCTGCGAGTTCGTACCGCCTTGACTCTTGCCCAGTGCTTCACTTGCTAGTCTAAAACGAAAGAGATCGACACCTGTCGCAGGCGTTCATTATCGAATTCACACTCAGCTCGTTGTGTCCTTGATTTCATATTTAACCTCCCCCGTTACCCACTTGCAATTGTCTAAGCAAGACCATTCAGTGTTCCGCCCAGGTACCATGCTGGTATACAAATATCTCTTTACAAATAACTTGAGAGAAAAATGGAAGCTCCATCTTCAGCAATGGGTTGGTTGATCTGTTGTACAATTTTTACTGTAAATATTCGAAATCGTTCTACAAGGCATATGAACAGTCAGTGAATTGGGTGCAAAAAGATATTAACTGGGTCACGGCCACATCAAAGTTCAGCACGGAGACATATCAGGGGACGATTAAAGGTTTCGGCGTGGTATTAGAGACTTGGTGAGCCTCGATACCGGGCAGCTACAGATTTCTCCTCACTGAGGCGCTGTTCCAAACGACCAATCTCCTTAGTAAAGCGAATCATGTCTGCTTTTCCAAGGAGGGGCTTCTCCCTCTTCTTGCTACGAGTGAGCCCTAGCTTCGTACCTTCTTTTTCAAGATACTGGAGACGGGTGGTGTCTTTGGAGTGATCGAAATGCCTATCAACCCCGTTGGGACCGACTGGTGTAGTAGAGTCGGTAAGGGTTCCGGTGCGCTTCCTCAAAGTCAAACTGTCTTCATCAGGGAGAGTCTCCTGCAGTCTTACTGGCTTCTCTTCTTTTTCGTGCGTCTCACGTACGGTCTGCTTTTCCGATGTTCGTTGCCTCTCGTCATCTCGTCCTGGTGAGTGCCTTGCCTTGAGCTTCTCCCTGGTCGTATTTGCTTTCCTTTTCAGCAAACTCAGCGAGGAAGCCGGTACTTGAGGCGCGGCCGATGTCTCTGCCATCGCTGAAAGACATTGTTCTGGACTCATGGTCTGCCGCTCCTTCTCACTTATAGATGTGTGGGTGTGGGGCAAAGATCCCGCGGTCTGGAGCTCTTTCTTACGTTGATCGAGAGATTTGCGGGAGATGGCGACCTGGTCCGAGAGCATCAGCATGCAATCATCAATGCTTCGCCTTTGCATAGCGAGCTGTGCACTGACTGCTTCCATGCGTTTGCGCTCCTCGACCAATCTTCGTCGCTGCGTTTTGAGGCGCTTTTCTTCGTCACGGAGGCTCGAGGCGTCGGGAATCGGGTAGTAATGCGGGAACGAGGCAGAGCGGTTGGGGTGTGACTCTTCGTGATCCAGGGGCTGCTGCTTTCCCCCCTCATTTTTCCCTCGTCGATTTGTTGCATGCCCCTCGGAAGGAGGAGCCGAGAGGGGATTCGGCGAAGGCAAAGGACAGGGGTGGTAAGAGCTTCCTGTGAGCCACTCGGTCGTCGCTGCGGGCATTGTGCCGGGGTTCGAAGCGATCCATGCCTGTGCGTCCTGCTGGGAAATGAGCTCGTCTTCGAGTGAGGAGTGTGCCTCGAACTGCGCCCTCAGAGTGTCTTCCAGTTCAGCCTTGGTGGCGTGCAGGGCCCTCAAAATTTCCGAATCTGAGGCCAGACACACCCCGAAACCCTCGCCTTCCGGACTTTGGCCGCGGCCGACGCCATCCGCCCCTGTTTGAATGCCCGTCCTGCCATCTGAGCTGGTCCCGGATCCGGTGGAGCGTGTGTGGTCGGGGGCCCTCTGCAAGGACGGAGAGTTGCGCGTGCGCAGGAGAGCCTCGGCGTGGGCAACGAAGGCCGTCGCCTTGGCGCTGACGGCTTGAGTCATTTCTCGAAGACGCATGCAATGCTGGGCGAGTGGCGTTGGCC